AACTGGCCAAAGATACTGCTGCCCATTATCTCCAGTTGGGTTTGCATCATCAGCTGCATTTTTCCAAAGAATGAGGCTTTCTGTCTCTCTTTAAAGAAGTGGTTACTGAAGCCCAGGGTTACTAAACCCCCCTGTTAACTGAAATGGGTAGACCTAGCAGTGACCCCATTCTTTCCCTGTTCCATCAATGTAGGAGCTGCTTAGGCAAGGCTTATTCCAAGAATTCAGTCACTTAATAATTATTTATGAGTACAAATTGTCAGTCACTGCTAGCATCTAAGGGTGAAGAAGTGAACAAACCTAGCAGAACCCCTGCCCTTTTGAAATGTATGTTCTAGACAAAAGACAATAATCAAAATACCTAGATGTTGGGAAAAGCTATGAAGATAAATGAGGCTGCAGAGATGGGGTAATAGGGTTACTCTTCTAGCTCCCCAGAGCTGAGGCTGCCCTTCCCTTTGTTGGGGATGCCATGTGAGCAGCATCCTGCAGGAGGAGCAATGATACCAAGAGGAGTACAGTGCATGCAGAACAGCTACATCAAAGATCTGAGACAGAAGCCAAGTGTTAGAAGAACAAGAAGGCCAGTGTGATGTGTGTGTGTGTAGGGGTTGGTGATGCTGGAGAAGGAGGCAGGCTAGATCAAGTAGGGGCTTGGAGAATTGTATTTTGGAGCAGTGGAGAACCATTAGAAGTCTTGAAGTTAGGTAACCTTTGATAGATGCTCCAGCACCCCAGGCCAGTGTGGACTGTGTATTGTAAAGCTATAGGTGGGCATCTTTGGGATTACCTGTCTGTCTACCCACTAGGCTGACACTTGGGCACCTCTGGCCTAGTACTGAGCACAGAATAGGAGTGCACTAATGTTTATTGGCGAGAGGAAGGAAAAGGGAAAAGAGAGCAGGGAGATGGAAGGAGGGAGAGAGAAAAGCAGGGAGAAGGAAGGAAGGAATAAGAAAATGAGGGGAGGGAGGAAGAAGGAAGGGAATGGAGGAGGAAGGAAGGAAGGAGGGAGAGAGAAGATGAGGGGAAAAGGAAGAGAGAGTGAGGGGAGGGAAGGAAAAAAGGGAAGGAGGAGACAGAGAAAGAGAGAAGGAAGGAGGAAGGGAAGGTAGAAAAAAGAAGGAGGGTAAGAGAGGAAAGAGAGAGAAGAAGAGAAGTGGGGAAGGAAGGATCTTTCTCCCTGACAAGGAGCCACAGGCACCAGCACACTGCATAGGCAGTGGAGGCTTTTGTGGCAGCCTCTCTTTGTGGCCTGGTATCACTAAAATGGGACTTCTCTCAGTGCCAGTCCTCTTTGCCACAACTTGGAGACCCTGGATGGCATACAGGCAAGAACAACCCAGAGAGCATGGGCCAACTCATAGCTGTAGCCATTCACAGGCTGGGGATGGAGGTGAACCATCCCCACCTCAGCAGTTCCTAGCAAGGAGGATCTTCCTAGAACAGGCTGCCAGGAGAGGGGTGAGTGTCCTGCAGCCAGAGATGTCCATGCTAAAACAGAGGTAGGACCCCTGCCTTGAAAGGAAGATGGGGTTGCAAGGCCACTAAGGCTCCTCCCAACTCCAAATTTCTGAGTGTGCTCTGTGGTCCTTGTCCTAAGGGCAGGGCAGCATTTTCAACCTTCCTACAACACCTGTGCAGAAGTCATCGCAGGGGAAAGAGCCCAGGCAACCCTCCCCCAAACACGCCTCCTCTGCATACCCATTTGTCTTCAGTGCAGCTCTCTACCCCCATAGGTGGGACTACCTCCCTTTCCTCAGGCCACACCACCTTGGGTCAAAGTTATTGTCATTGACATCTCGGTCACAGTTGTCCTTTCTATCCCCTCTTGTTCTTTGCCCCCTCACTGGAAAGGAGACTGGAGTGCCGTTCTGAGGGACCCCATCCCATCCCCCCAGTACTCTGCTTTCTCCTTCGCCTCCTAGGGCTGTAGGAAGTCCAGGCCAGAGTTGCTATTTGCTTCTTGCTGTTCTGGGCTGGCTCTTTGGAAAGATTGGAAAGATCAGTCCTAGAGCATCTTACATGTTATCTAGCAAGGACTCTGTTAGCAGAACAGTTTCTGAGTTAAGACTTAAAATGTACAGAAGAACACACATCTGTCATGCCAGCTGGGTCCCAGCTCAAATGTTTGGATTTGGGGGTAGAAAAGGTACCTGGTTAGTACAGGAGGAGCTTGCTCCGCCAGCCCCAGTCCTTTAGATGAAAGTGACAGGGAGCCAGATTTTGGAACACCTCCTTTGTGCCTGGCATATTATATACATTATTTATTTAATCGTCAAAAGAGTCAAGTGCGATAGAGATATGTTGTTGTTGTTGTTGTTATTTGCCATCAAGTCGCCCCCGACTCATAGCGACCCCTCCTTGGGTTTCTGAGGCAGTATCACTACGGAAGTAATATTGCCCAACCTTCCTTCCGAGGAGTGGCTGGTGGGTTTGAACCGCCAGCCTTCTGGATAGAGATATAGAGGTTCTATTTTCCCTGTAAGGCAGGTGAAGAAAGTGAGGGACAGAGTTTCACTGAGGCCTGGGACCCCAATCCCGAGGGCATTATCTAGCCTGGGGAGTGGGTGCTTCTTTGTTGGTGAACATTCACTGCACCCACAGGCCAAACCCAGATGCTGCAAACGCACAGCCACTTGAGTGCACTATCAGCTGCCTGTGCTCCCACACCTTCTGGAGTGTTAGACTCCCCCAACCAAAAACCAAATCCACTGCCACTGAGTCAATTCCAACTCTTAGTGACCCCCATTGGGTTCCAAAGCTGTAAATCTTTATGGAAGTAAATTGCCTCTAGTAGCATAGTGCCTAAGGCACTTGACTGCTAACCAGAAGGCTGGCAGTTCAAACCCATCAACCACTCCTTGGAAGGAAGGTTGGGCAATCAATCTACCTCCGTAGTGATACAGCCTCGGCAACCCAAGGAGGGGTCGCTATGAGTCGGGTCTCACTTGATGGCACATAACAACAACAGCAATCCCTCCATGGAGCAGCTGAAAAGTCTGAACTTCTGACTTTCTGGTTAGCAGTCAAATACCTTACCCACTATACCATAGAATCCCTTGAGGTACTGGTTAAAATAACCAGATGCTCTGAAACAGCATCTTCAGGGGGAGGAAGAGGCTTGGGAGACTATCTTGTTAACTAGTGACCTGGTGAGGTTTAAGAAATGCTGGACTAGAGACCATGACAGCCAAGGCCATAGTGATGGGAGACCCACCTTTAAATGTGCATCAGGATGTGCCTGGTTCTTATGTGTGGAGCCCATCAAGGGCCCTCTTGGAAGTTATGTGAGTAGTAAATAAGGTCACGTCTTTAGAGTGTCTGCTAAGCATGGACGGGCATTTAGCAGGCGCTCTATAGATGTATTTTTCTCTTCCATCTTTCCTTTCTCTTTTGCTTAGTCCCTTAAGAGCACATGGAATTCCCAACTGTATTATACATCTTTTCCAATAGAAACAACCTTAAGCTGTCTATATTGCTTAAAAGAAAGGAAGGGAGACTGGCAGGGAGGGAAGGAAGAGCATGCCAGCTGATGCTGTAGGTGAAGGTGTTTGAGAGGCCATGGCACTGATGCATGGCCCTCAGTGAACCCACACATACACCCGCCTGAGCTTGGTTGGGAACTCTATACCTCTTCCAGCATTACCCAGCAGACAGGAGAAAGCCTGTGACAGGTGCTCTTGGTCTCCTGCTCATTTTCCACAGCCTCATATGGGAGGCACCAAGAAAGCCCCCTACCTCCTGTCTTCACCTTAGACAGGACTTAGACATTCCAGAGCTTCCACACTTGCAAGGTTCTGGTTAGTTTCCTGGGACTTCAAACAGGATGTTCTTCCCTGGGACCTTGGGGTATACCTACTAGAATCAGGTAAGAAAGAAGGGGTGGTCAGAAACCCAGGGAAGCAGAGATGGGACCATTCTCAAGCTCCAGATGAGAAGATTGAAGACCCTGTTGCTTATCATGGTTGAGGACACTAGGAGAGTATTCTGGGATTTACTGAGTGACCTTGAGCAACCCTGACATTCCTCTCTCTTCATAAAATAATCTTAACAATCCTCAGGCAGAACAAACTTCAAATGCCCAAATAGCTGCTCTCTTAACTCTGTGTACCCTTGGAGGGTACTCAAAGTGCAATGAAAATATGAGGGAAAAACAATTGCATTTAATTTACATATAGAAATATATGTATTAGGAGGGGTTGCTATAAGTCAGGTCCGACTCAACGGCACATAACAATAACAACAACAGTATATAATATAGTAAAATATGTTGTCATTAGGTGTGATGGAGTCAGCTGTGATTCACAGTGACCTTATGTACAACAAAACGAAATGCTGCCTGGTCCTGCACCATCCTTACGATATTTGTAATGTTTGAGTCCATCACTACAGCCACTGTGTCAATCCATCTTATTGTGGGCCTTCCCCGTTTTCACTGACTGTACTTAACCAAGCACGATATCTTTCTCCAGGGACTGGACCCTTCTGGAAACATGACCAAAGTACATGAGGCAAAATCTGGCCATTCTTGCTTCTGAGGAGAAACCAAATCTGTTCATAAAATACAGAGCTGTGCAAATGCAAGAAAGTCTGGCTCATAAACGGGCTTTGACCCAATGAAAACATCTTGAATATCCAATTCCACCTTATCAATGAAGCAGTCAGTGTTTTCTGCCACTGGGATGTTTGTTCATTGAGAAGCAATGGATGAACTGGCTTCAGAGCCCAGCAGATCTGAGCACAAACCCTATCTGCTACCATATTTTTGTTATAGTTTATATGACAATCCACAAACCTCTCTGACCTCAATTTATCTGTTCATTGAGGATAACAAGTGGCACCCTCATCAGTTTGTTGTAAGGATTGTACATAGTAAGGTGGGTGCTCTGTAAGTAGGAGTTCCTCCCCTACCCTAGCCTCTGAACAAAAGACCCCTGAACACCAAGGCCCATCCAGGAGAAAACCTAACACATGTGTTGTCTGTCCTTTCCTTTCAGAAGTGGTTGACCAGAAAGCCTTGTATTTCTTCAACTTGAGCTCCATGCAGGATTCAGAAATGATCCTTACGGCAACCTTTCACTTCTACTCCAAGCCACAGTGGTCCTGGGCACGAGAGGTGCTGTGCAAGAGGTTAAAGAATACGTCCTGCCGCCTGCTGCCTCCAGGCCCACCTGCCCACCAACACATGCTCTTCCATAGCCTCTCACAGAACACAGCCACCCAGGGCCTACTCCGGGGCGCCATGGCCCTGGATCCCCCACCACGAAGCCTGTGGCAGGCCAAGGACATCTCCCCCATTGTTAAGGCAGCCCGCCGGGATGGCGAGCTGCTCCTTTCAGCCCAGCTAGATGCTGGGGAGAAGGAGCCAGGGGTGCTCAGATCCAGCCCACACACACCCTACATCCTCATCTATGCCAATGACCTGGCCATCTCGGAGCCCAACAGTGTGGCAGTGACACTGCAGCGGTATGACCCCTTCCCAGCTGGTGACCCTGAACCCCGTGCAGCCCCCAACAGCTCCACAGACCCCCGAGTGCGGCGGGCTGTCCAGGTCAGTGGCCCCCTCCAGGACAACGAGTTGCCAGGGCTGGATGAGCGGCCAGCACCCACCCACGGTGCCCAGCACTACCACAAGCATGAGCTATGGCCTAGCCCCTTCCGGGCACTGAAGCCCCGGCCAGCACGCAAGGACCGCAGGAAGAAGGGTCAAGACCTGTTTATGGCCTCCTCACAGGTGCTAAACTTTGATGAGAAAACCATGCAGAAAGCACGGAGGAAACAGTGGAACGAGCCAAGAATCTGCTCACGGAGGTATCTGAAGGTGGACTTTGCAGACATTGGGTGGAATGAATGGATCATCTCACCCAAATCCTTTGATGCCTATTACTGTGCAGGAGCTTGTGAGTTCCCCATGCCCAAGGTAGGTGTACATGAGGAGCATTGCTGTGTTCTTAAGGTAATTTTGTTGTGCGTTGTCCAGTTGTAACTGCCTCTGTGAGCCTGTACGTGTCTCTCTAAAATAGGGATTAAAAAAAAAGCAGTGTCAGTTTCCATGGAGTTGCCTCAGACTCGTAGACACTCCATGTATTCAGAGTAGAACTGCATTCCATAGGGGTTTCACTGGCTGATTTTTTGGAAGTACATCATCAGGCCTTTCTTCAGAAGTGCCTCTGGACAAACTTGAACCTTCAATCTTTTGATTAGCAGCCAAGCATGTTAACCATTTGTACTACTCAGAGACTCTAGGATGATACCTCCCATTTATTTATTCCAGGCAGTAGGCAGATAGACAGAGGTCCAAGGCAACAGCCTGTTGGGTAGGTAAAGGTCGCAGATGGATTGGTGTGGCCCACAAAGTGCTCTTAAAAATGTTGACTTCATTGAATTTGACTTTTTAAATCAGAACATTTCTTCTTTTGCAAAGCAGGAGAATCCTTCTCCATAGATATGTGGCCCCACCTAGTGACAATCTATCAAGGTTGAATAGATGCTACCCCTGTAGATAGGGCATGCCCCTACAGTCCTTCACCTTGCCAAGGCTCTTGTTTCTGCTCCTGGTCTGGGCACCAGGCTGTTGGAATCTGTGACAAGCATGTCTCTGGGTTCAGAATTCCTTTTCCCCCAGAGTAAGTGCCCTCTTCCCTCAAACCCAGGAGAGGGACTCTTGGAACCAATGGTTCTCACTGTACACAGCAGGTCTACACAACACAACACTGGGTTTCTTGACTCATCTACACTTGCCCTGGTTTTCAAATACTTTCCTACCCTCCAGGCTGGGCTTGGGCACTGTTTACCTCCACCTCTCCTGCCCCCCATGGCCTGCACTGTAGTGTGCCCCCTGCCAGCTGATGTCACCCGCACCAGAGAGCACACACTTTCCCGCTGCTCAGTTACTCCTCCAAGTTCCAGGTCATGACTTCCTCTCCAAGAAAGGAAGTCAGTGCATAAATCCAATCTTAACATAAATAAATCAGCCATCTGGAAACCCCAGACCCAGATGTGGGTGGGTCCAGTAATCCGTTTGGGAAGAGAGGTGCCCAACAATGAGACTGGCACCTTCAGGAAGGCTGAGCACAGGCTTGGGGCAGGTGCAGGACAACAGCATTATAGGCTCTCAGCCTCCAGTTCAGTGCTTACTTGTCAGCTTTCTGGGACATCCAGCTAGAACCCCACAAAGGCAGGGTTTCCCCAATCTGCTCCCCTCCCTACTCCCTACGCAAAGGGCTTTTCATCAGTTACACTATGTAAAACTCTGTTTGGCTGGCAATGAACTGAAGTAGCTGGCTCATTTGTGTTCACGTTGTCCAAGCTGACCAAAAAAAGCACTCTCTGTTTTTGCTGCTGAGACTTAGATCCTCCTGCATATGAAAGGCCACCTGGGGTGGAAAAAGAGCTGCTGTGGCTACAGCAGGCCTGCTTTCTGAACTTCCTAATAAGAGGTTAAATTGCTGAGTCATTTTAAGCTTCAGTTTATTCCCCAGTAAAACTACAGTGATACTTACTCCATCAAGGTGATAAGATGAAAGTGTGAAACATTGTGACACTCTGAAGTCCAAGATGCCCAGCAATGTCAGTTTCCCATCTCATCACCAGTGGCACACACATGCATGTGAGAAACACTGCCTGTTCCCCTTGAAGGCTAAAGCTGCCAGAGGACTGGCTAGGCAGTTCCATTGTGTCCTCTAAACAGCACCTCTTGGGCTAGGTGCTTGGGGATGTGTGAAGCACAAGCGCCCTCAAGTGGCCAGTGCTATGCCCATACGCATTGCCATCCAGTTGATTCTGACTCATAGCAAACCTAAGGGACAGAGTAGAACTGTCCACAACGTTTCCAAAGCTGTTAATCTTACCAGAAGCAGACTACCTCAATTTTCTCCTGTGGAACAGCTGGTTGGTTTGTACTTCTGACCTGCTGGTTAGCCAAATGCTTTAACCACTTAACCACCAGAGCTTCTTAGTGCCATGCAATGGGTATACTTTCTCTCACTGCAAGAACCTGGGTGCTCTTGCAGTAAACCCCCAGCGGACTCAGTCTGTGGCTAAACCCTGAAGAATCTGTACCAGCCCAGGGAGTTTGCCTTTTCTTCTAGTTGACACCCTTTACATAGCCTCAGCCATGGAATAGCAGTAACACAATCTGTGGTTGGTGGAGAATGGGTGAGTGTTGTATGGTGTGGTACTCATGCTCCTTCCCTGCCTTGCAGATTGTCCGCCCTTCCAACCATGCCACCATCCAGAGTATCGTCAGGGCTGTGGGCATTGTCCCAGGTATCCCGGAGCCCTGCTGTGTTCCTGATAAGATGAACTCCCTTGGAGTCCTTTTTCTGGATGAGAACCGGAACGTGGTTTTGAAGGTGTACCCCAACATGTCCGTGGAGACCTGTGCCTGCCGGTAAGACCAATCGCTCTACATGCAAGGAAGCCTCCACCCCAGCCCACACCAGCAGAGCATCTCGGAACTTTCCAGAGTGAAGACTGGATAAGGAGTACAGCTGTGAAAAAAAAAAGAAGAAGAAGAAGAAGAGGAGGAGCATAAAGGCAGCCCCACTGGGTCCCAGGACCTGCCCATCAGGACATTGTTTTAGGGTGTTTTGTTTTTAGTGACTTAGCCCCTAAATGTCACTCCAGGTATCCTTAAAAGAATCCAGGAATTAGCCTGCCTGAAACTTGCCCATCTGTACCCACTGAAAACTGAATGTGTTCTTGTGCTGGCTTTTTGTGATCATTGTCTCCTAACCTGGGGAGAAGACTATGCAAATCATAGGGCACTCACAGCCATCACATGGAAAGAACCTCTGTGTAAGTATTCAGTTTAAAACACTTCAAGCCACACACTGATATTGGAAACAGGGCCTAAATAACATTATAAATGTGTATTTTCTTTCAAACTCTGCTGTACAAGCTTATATATATATAATCGATGATGGTTTCTTTTTCTTAATATATATTTTATTTTTCCACAAAAATGAAGGAATGGACACCATTCCCCACAGAGGTGATCATGTTGGCTAAGTGTGAATTGTTTAAACATGCATATCGGAATAACACATACAGTCATACGTTGGAATACTAAAAATAACCAAGATTTTATATTTTTATAAATTATACTTTCTATATTGTAGATTGTGTATGTTAAGTGCTTTTATGGAAAGCCAATAAATTAAAGGTACAGTGGTATCTTAACAAACTGAACATTACCCATTCCAAAATATTGATCAATTCAGGATGAGGTCTGGGAGATACAGTGTTCTCTTAGGGTCTACATAGGCTATCTCCACACTCTCTTATCCCCACCCCAAGCTCCAAAAACTCAGCTGCTCCTTCCAAGGTCCTACTCCACCAATTCTACCACTCCAGTACTCACCCTCAGTGACTCTTAAGGCAGGAAACTGCCCCGGGGAAGCAAAGTGGCCTCAACAGGTTCTCTCCCATCCCAAACCTCAGAGAGGATATCCAGTGATGGTATTTGTAGCCAGACATCTTTACCTGGGCTTATTCAAGTAGGATAAGATTAAACTAAGCAATCAGGTTGAGAGGTTTGCAAGGATAGGAAGGGCCACACAGTCACCTGTATCTGCTTTCACCTGTGCATATTTATACAACGGCTGCTCTGTTTCTTCATCAGCAGTCCTGGCCCCAGAATGTTGTTGTTGTTGACTGACATCAAATTGGCTCCCAACTCATGGCAGCCCTATGGATCTCAGGGTTTTCACTGGCTGATTTTGAAAGTAGATCACCAGGCCTTTCTTCTTAGTCTGTCTTAGTCTGGAAGGTCTGATGAAACCTATTCATCATCATAGTAACACACAAGCCTCCACTGACAGATAGAATCAAACCCAATTTTCCTTCATGGAAGGTGGGAATTCTGCTACTGAACCACCATGATGCCATTATTTATAGTTCCTCACAGATGCAGTGCCTGAAGCTAGCTAACTGGCATTTCTGAAAGAGAATCTGGCAGGGATGTAACATAGTCCCACTGGCTGTGACCCAAGAGAAGGACGTGGTTTCACTGTTACTCAGAGGAGACTAAGAAGATTCTCTGAGAGTAGGATGTACAAGGAGAGACGATGCACAAGACGTTCTTCTTTTGTGGGGTTTATAAGGACAGGGTCCATGGGCAGGGGATTGATGAGGAAGTGCACCAAGAAAGACTGAGAAGAAAGAGGGAAGCAGCAGGAGGAGAGTGAGCAGGCGAGAGTCTTAGTCTCATCCCGACCCTGTAGGGAACCCTGGGTGCTCACACTCCCACACTAGGGCCTTGCTGGCTTCAGGCTGCCCTCAGATGAGCAGGGTGTGAGCTCTGAGCCACTCTGTCCTTTGCTAGGACAGCCACAGTGGCCCTAGGAATCCAGGGAAATCTCTGAAGAAGGCTTCAGTGCCAGACTTTAGAAGCAAAGCAACCAGAAGGAGTGCCCAGAACCAGTAAGGGAGTGCCTGGGTGCATCTGAGTGGAGCCCAGTATCCCAGCACTGTGTGCTCAGCATCTTCACAGTGGTGCTCTCGATGGTCCTGGGATGCATGTGAGCAGCTGCTCTTGAGGTCCTGCCTGCTGGTCATGTGACCTTTCCGATCAACAGAAGTCTGTCCACAGATCAGGTAAGGTGAGAAGGGTAGTTTTACACACACACACACACACACAATGCCTTCTTCTCATATGAACTGTAAATGAGACAGACTAAATGATTCTTTTCACATTGCTGTGGATTGCTGGTGTACCTCAAATTCATCTGCAAGCTTAATGTTTGGTTTGCTGTGTTTAAGCCTTTTTAGCACAAGATAGTATAAATCAGTAGTCAAATAAATAAAAGTATTGGAGCTTGATAAGATTCCAAATTTCTTTCTTCCCAATATTAGATCCTCATTTTCCCTTCCCCCTCCCTCAATTTTTTCCCATTAGACTTCTCCCTTTTCAGCTTTGATATGACTGGTCTCCTGCAATAGTTCCATCCCATTTTTTCTGGCATTTGAAGTTTCTGTAATATATTCTGGGTCACCCCAAATGCCTAGAGCTCCTCTGAATCTTCATTTCTGGATTACTGGGATTGGAGAACAGGCTGGGAGATCATCCTCTGGGTCCTGCCATGGGCAGGGCTCTATGCCTATGCTGGCAGTAGGATGAGCCAAATGGTGGCTTTCTTTCCTGGGTTCACCCTACTGACACTGGGATGTGGGATGTGCTATATGGAGGTCCACTCAGTGGTGGAAGGCACAAGCATCATCACAGACTCTTGTCATTTAGATACAACATTTCACTTAGACTCACAGCAAACTTTCAACTTACTACCCATTTGGTGCCTGCAGAAAAACAGTCTCAGGAAGAGCACATAGCATGTCTAACACCTTACTAAGACCATGAACAATATCAGGAGTGTCTAAGGCAGTGTGATTCAAAGCCTAAGAAGCCATCTCTACCCTGGCTTCTTGGCCAGCCTATTAGGATTACCCAATTGCACCCACAGTAAATCTAGGTATAAGAGGAAAATAAATGTTCACTAAATAAATGTGTAAAATAACTTTTTCTCCCTTAAAACAAAAATATCAGCTTCACATCATCATAAGAACAAAAGGTTCCAGTGGACAGCCTATATCTTCTTGGAGTCCTGAGGTGACTCAGCTGGGTATGTGTATCTGGATGGGACAGTGTGGCAGTGTGGCTGTTATATGCTACTAGGCCTTGTTCCTTCTTGATTTTAAACCACGCAGTGTCCTCTTGTTCTGTTCAAATGACAGCCTCCTGATCTATGTACAGGTTCCTCATTAGTACAATTAAGTGTTCTGGAATTCCCATTCTTCTCAATGTTACCCATAATTCGTTATGATCCACACAATCAAATGCTTTTGCATAGTCAATAAAACATAAATAAACATCTTTCTGGTATTCTTTGCTTTGAGCCAAGATCCATCTGACATCAGTAATGATATCCCACATTCCACGTCATCTTCTGAATCCATTTCTGGAAGGTCTCTGTCAATATATTGCTGCAACTGTTTTTGAATTATCTTCAGTAAGATTTTTCTTGTGGGACTGGCGGGGCAAGATGGCGGACTAGGCAGAAGGATTGCACAGACCCTCTTCAACAAAGAAAAGGGAAACCAATTAACACAGACACAGAAGATA